TTTATGCAGCGGATGCTTTTTATTCTCTTGTCATATTCATTTTTAATGTGGACCTGAACAATGATGACTTTTAAGGCAACTAAATCAAGTCCAGTTTTTGTTGTGTGTTTTAGGATTTTAATAGTAGCTCATGTCCCTGAGATGAAGGGAACATTTCAAAAAACAAATAAGGAAATTTCCATTGAGATCAGCCTGAGCTTGTGGACTGATTAAAGGTTGACTGATTTGTGTGCAGTGTACCTGAGAGCCGTGCTGGTCACTGCCGTTGTTCACCATAGACACGGTCCCTTTCTTTCTGTGCTTGATCCTTGGCATTTTCTCAGACTCAAAGAAGCGTGCCTGATCGCCATACAGTTTACTAGAAACAAATAAACCAGTACCATCATACAATGCATCTTCAATTAGCGCACACGCACACACACACACACACACACACACAAATATTTAAAGTATATAAAATTAAAAATATTTAAATACATAAAGTGAAAGTTTCTCTTTTGCTTTACTTTTTTTTAGGACAACAGTATCTCCAGCATAAAAGATATCCAAAGATGCTGTTTTAAATTGTTTTTGAAATGAATGAAGACAGCAGAAGTCAATAATTAATTTGATTTATTTAGCCGGACATGTTTAGGCTACTGTTCCAAAATATTTAAATGTTTCTTAAAATAAGATTTATTGTGTTTTAAAGGGAAAAAAGTTTTTGTTTTTTACCCGGACATTCAAAAAGAATATATTTTAGAGAAGTAATCACAATACCGCAAAACCATATTTTTATCCTGGGTTATCATACTGTCAGAATCGTATACCGGCCCTTGCCTAGTCAGTTATTTTTCCCCCAATATTGTGCATCCTCAAGAAGCGCTCGTTCCTACCAGAACACAGACTCTCCTCCTCGGCCCGTGCCAGTGGGGTCGCCCGTCTGAATGATGAAATCTCTCTGAAGAACAGATGCAACAACATTCACTGACGACAGCAATGATCATTAACAAATCATACAGTAAATGAATCTAATTTCAGTGATACCTGCAATAAATTCCATAATCTAATTTCACCTTCGTCTTACGCGATTTTGAAAACATTCACAACTCAAACCTTCACCTCCCATAAGAAAAACACTTGCTTTATCCTTAATAGCAGGTTTTAAAGAAGTGGAACTAAAACATAAACCTAAAATAATTAAGATAAGAAAAAAAAACATCTCTTAAAAGGAACTGTTCACTCAAAAATTTTAATTTACACATTATTTACTCACCCTCATGTCATGGTTGAACACGGAAGAAGATATTTTGATGAAAGCTGAAATCCTGTAAACGTTGATTTCCACAGTAGATAAACAAATACTACAGGAGTCAATGGTTACAAGTTTCCAGCTTTCAGCAAAATAACTTTCATTTGCATTCAACAGAAGAAAAGTAAATGATGACAGAATTTTCTTTTTTTTTTTGGGTGAACTGTCTCTTTAGGTGCAGACAGAATGAAAGATGTCTTACCTGAACATTGTGAATCAGACAATAGTTGTAATATTTGATTTTGCACAGTTTCAGGAAGTTCAGCGAGGCTGCAAATTAGAGGAACATTCATTTAGTTAATAATTTAGAAAAACACTTTGAATCAAAACATCCCATAATAGCGGGACTAATAAGTACAATCCATTTTCATTCAGGTAAGTGGGTTTCATATTCGCACATTTGTTCAGTGATAACTTGTGACTCGGTCACTATATTGTTTACCATGGTAACTTTGACTATTCGGTCTAATCATATGCAAGTATGACTTCAAAACAGCTCTACTGTGAACAGTGTTATACTTTTATAGTCATTGGGGGCATTCCCTATTGAGAATTTGCAAATGATAATTTTCTAAAATTATATTTTATTAAGGAGAAAGTCCAAAATTGTGAATATAAAAGCACTTTATACTTTAACATCAAGTTTAAATCACACAAATTTAAGCCCTAAACTATTATCCCTACTGATAAAAACAGCTTTAACCAGCCTAGGCTGGCTGGCTGGTCTTAGCTGGTCGACCAGGCTGGTTTTAGAGGGGTTTTTGGCAACTTCCAGGCTGGTTTCCAGCCATTTCCAGCCTGGTGGGAGATGACCAGCTAAAACCAGCTTCACCAGCCTAGCCAGGCTGGGAGCCCAGCCAAAACCAGCTTAAACCAGGCTGGTCAAGCTGGTTTTAGCTGGTCATTTTTCAGCCTGACCAGCTAAGACCAGGGTGGAAATGGCCAAAACCCCTCCAAAACCAGACTGGCCGACCAGCTAAAACCAGCCAACCAGCCTAGGCTTATTTTTTATTATATAATAACCAAACTGCTTGGAATGGACACACAATTACCACCTGTTATAATAATTATTACTCATTTTTGATCAAGAACTCAAAGTTGCAGCGGTCTTATATTTCTCACATTGTTTCTGGCTATTGCATCAAATAATCTTAAATACAGTGCAACCATGTTTAAATCGTTGGTCCACCACTGATATTATCATTATTTACCTTTCGGTCTCTCCTCTGTGTATAAATCAATCACAATATCCCCTAACGTTGTTTCCAACAACACCGCCATGTCGCATCTACTTCATCAACACGCGCCGGACAGACACTGCGCGTGCGCGTTGAGAAGAGTCGCAGGGAATGACGTCGGAGATTCTGTACAGGAGTCACCAGCGTGTTTTTTCCTTAATAAACTTGACTCTGAGGTTTCTTCTTGCTCCTAAAGTTACTGCAGTTCATTACATGTTAAATATAAGCGGTACTTGACGAATAAACACTGTAGTAAATAAATAAATGAAGCAACCCTGCTAAAAAAAAATCCAGCTTAAACCAGCCTAGGCTGGTTGGCTGGTTTTAGCTGGTCGACAAGCCTGGTTTTAGAGGGGTTTTGGCCACTTCCAGGCTGGTTTTCAGCCATTTCCAGCCTGGTTTTAGCTGTTCAGGCTGGGAGATGACCAGCTAAAACCAGCTTGACCAGCCTAGCCAGGCTGGGAGCACAGCCAAAACCAGGATATCCAGCTTAAACCAGGAATGTCAAGTTGGTTTTAAATGGTTTTAGCTGGTCACTTTCCAGCCAGACCAGCTAAGACCAGGCTGTAAATGGCTGGAAACCAGCCTGGAAGTGGCCAAAACCCCTCTAAAACCACCCTGGTCAACCAGCTAAAACCAGCCAACCAGCCTAGGCTGGTTTAAGCTGGATTTTTCTGCAGGGAAGTGCTGTTATATTTAAGAGTATTTTAGAACAGCATCTTACAGGACTGAGTTTCTCCATCACAATCTTCAACATATCTCACAAACAAAACTCAAATGTAGAATTTCATTGTGGAAATCTGCCATGTCGCTTCAGTATTTGCGTATTTCAGCATATAGCCCACATTAATGTGTTTAGTAAATTCTAGTTTTTAAAGCTTTAGAAAAGTGTATTATACTGTGTGTACATTATACAACGGTCACTTTTATTAGGTACACCTTTTGCCTTCAGAACTGCCTTAATCATTCGTGGCAGAGATTCAACAAAGTATTGGAAATATTCCTCAGAGATTTTGGTCCATATTGACACGATAGCATCACACAGCGGCTGCACATCCATAATGCGAATCTCCCGTTCCACCACATCCCAAAGGTGCTCTATTGGATTGAGTTCTGCAGACTGTGGAGGCCATGTGAGTACAGTGAACTCATTGTCATGTTCAAGAAACTAGTCTGAGATAATTAATGCTTTATGACATGGAGCATTATCCTGCTGGAAGTGGCCATCAGAAGATGGAGACACTGTGCTCATAAAGGGATGGACATGGTCAGCAGCGACACTCAGGTAGGCTGTGGCATCGACACGATGCTCAATTGGTACTAATGAGCACTAAGTGTGCCAGAAAAATCCTACAAGGCAGGATGGATCAATGCTTTCATGTTGTTGTTGTCAAAATCTGACCCGACCATCCAAATGTGGCAGCAGAAATGGAGACTCATCAAACCAGGCAATTAATAAAGGGACTAAGCCGAAGGAAAATGCATGATTGTTTTTCAAATCTTTTATTCACTCCAAAAGTGAAATCCCGATCTGCACACAATGAAAGCGACAGAATGCAAAGACGGATCATGCAAACATCCAACTTGTCCATAACATGATTGTAACTTCACATAGCCCTGTGTGTGTGTGTGTGTGTGTGTGTGTGTGTGTGTGTGTGTGTGTGTGTGTGTGTGTGTGTGTGTGTGTGTGTGTAAAATAATAAATAATCACTGAAATAAAAGCACAGGATGATTCTTTTAGACGTGTACTTCATTTATAATTAAACTTGATATAAAAACTGGCATCAGTTTCAGCTAAACTCTTCAGTCTCCAGAAAACGACAACTTGTGCTGCTGAATAACCTGATATAAGTGCTAAAACACACGCTGAGATATTCTCTGTGCTTCTGGATAGCAAAACATTGTGCAGTTTGTATATATATATATATATATATATATATATATATATACATATATAATCTCAGGAATGTAGCTCTAGAAGACTTTTACACATAGAAACACAGTACAGTTTGACTCATAACTGAGTTTTTCATAGCTGTAATTCTGAATATCTGCTAATATAACTAGCGATGATTAAAAATAATAATAATAATATTAGATTTGGAGACATTACACAGGTTATAAATTAAACATGTACAAATATATAAAACACATGGATGTCTTTTGTTTTAACGTCTTTAAACTGCAGACGGGAGAGATTTGGACTGGAAAAGCTTCTCAGGACAAGTTTCTGTAAACAAATATCAAAAATAAAGCAGACCTCCTGTATAAAGATGCCGTAACAGCACTCGCGTATTGAATGTGTGGATCCTGGTACAACTGCAGTTTCACAGACCAATAAAAAAAGAAAAGTGCACACACATATTTACATTATAATATTCCAAATGCACATTTATGTGATATAAACAATCACACGAGAGTTGAACTGCTCCCACTGGAGGTGTTTGGTTGTGTGTGGATGGCGGTGGTCCTCAGCCGGGCTTTTTTCTGTGCTCTGTGATGGCGCTCCACAGTTTACACAGGACTCCACCTCTGCAGACACAACGCAAGAATCACCTAGGAGTTCCCTTTTAAGCCTAGTTCACACTACACTGTCAAAAAGCTTTTCTTTCTTAGATTTTTTGTCTTGTTTCTAGTCCAAATATCTAAAAGTTCCTAAATCAAGAAGCATTTTCTAGACAAGCAAAACAAATTGTCTTGTTTTAAGAAATAATATGCCAAAATAAAGTGAGTTTTTCCTTGAATCAAGCTAAATAATCTGCCAATGGGGTAAGCAAAATTCTTCAGTTCTTCACGTGAACACAGCTGCTGCACTCGTGCATCCAGGTTAATCATGAACAACTCAGTGCGCATGCGCTAGTTGCACTCTCGCAGTCTGATTCGGTTTCAATCAAGGTTTATATGCATCAAATACATAACATCTGTCCCAAACATTTCAACAGACAAACATATTGACAATAATACAACCGTATAGCCGAATTAAATGTATGCATTGGCATGTTACAGCCATAATTAGCATGATTATGTGAAACTCCATATAGATACATATTGCAATGATTTCATGTACTTACTTAGCGATGCACGCACACATATATGCACAATCCTTAAATGCTCTGCTGATTTGCACTCTATAATACCTGTTTTATAACTTTAAACTATCAACAACCACCACTGCGCTATATTCTATCGTTCTTCCAGCTCCGTGGTGGATTTTGGCATAGTCCATTTCACGTGAGATGGCGGGGGTGAGTGGAAGAAACCAAGTCGCGGGGGGAATGTTTTCTACATAAATAATTTATGATTTCTTATGTGGCCCGGTACCATAGATATATAAACTAGATGTCGCCTGGCCTATTGTTGTCTATTGGACGGAATGCATCAATAGTGCCACCATCTTGCTACAGGGTAGCGCTGATTTTATTCAACAAAACTAGCATAAGCCGAGTGTTTAGTGCGAGTTGGAGCTTATTTGTCTTATGGTGAATGCAGTGACTGTTATCATCAATAACGTTACCTGATAAGCACAAAAGTTCAGAACATACAAAAACAGAAAAAAACTTAATATTACCTATGAAATGTTCTGCCTTTGTGCTTTGTTTTCTTTGTTTGCTCGTTTCTACACCCGTAGACAGCGCTAAAGTCCCGCATCTTCACGTAATAACTCTGTCTTGACTAGTGCGGTTGAATGACATTTGTCCTGGGAGCACTGTACCAATGTGGCGGCGCTATTGACGCATGCTCAGGGTCTCTATGCGATATCTAGTGTATATATCTATGGCCCGGTACTAATTGTTCCATGGACCGGTACCGGGCGGGGACCACTGGATTAGGAGATCTACTAATATAAATCTGTGTGTCGTCAGCATAGCACTGATAATTAATGCCATATTTTTGTACAATTTTTACAAGAGGTAGCATATAAATGCTAAACAAAACAAAAGAAATGGTCCGATGTAAAGGTGCAGGTTAAGAGGAGAACAGCGGCGCACCGTCAAAGTGTGGAGCGAACAGGCGGGGGAGCAGGGGATGCTAAACTAACACCCTTTGAGGTGAGAGTTGCCTCAATATTGGGCGACACTTTACTGTCTGGAGTAGTATCCGTGTCTGGGAGACACAGATGTAGTAGAGGAACACTTTGATAGGGCAGCATAGCAGCACTCCTCTGCTCTTATCAAGGCAGCACCACCGGCATTTCAGCTACCCAAGCGCATTTGAGCATCACATATTATTTGCATATTTATTGAATGGAAATGTTTTTAATAATAATAATTAATAATAATAATCCCTTACATTTATATAGCGCTTTTCTGGACACTCAAAGCGCTTTAAGGCTGATTTATACTTCTGCGTCAAACACCGGCATATGCTAGGGCGCTGACGCATAGCCCTTCGTCGTGGCCGTCGCCGTCACTGACGTGCACCTCTCAAAAATGTAACTACACGTCGCAACAACGCTTAGCGCAAGCTCTGTGATTGGTCGGCTTGGTAGCGCTGACGAGTCTGGGCGGGACCGGGAGCCGCGCGAATGGCGCGAGCCTAATGTAGCGATTGTTTATAAGTGTGGAGTCCCGTGAAGGAGCTCCGGATGGAAAGTTTTGTTTTGTGTTTACCTCATATTTAAAGTTATTGCACGTCCGCCGGTTCCTGCCTCAAAATGAGCGAGTTTGAGCCACTTGTACATCTCGGAAGTGTTCAGGAAAAGCAAAACAGCAGCGAAAAAACTCGACACAGAGAAACATTTACACCTCACTGCCCACTAGCGTTTCGGAAGTGTTAATGCAGACCAACAGAGACAGCGCGCAGAAGTATAAATGCACAGCTACGCGCCGGTCACTTGACGCAGAAGTATAAACCAGGCTTGACACAATGGGGGGGGACCAGTGTGCAGCAGCCACCTAGATCACGCGATGGCAGCCATTTTGCACCAGACGGCACACCACACACCTCCTTTTTTTTGGAGAAGAGACAGAGATAAAGCCAATTGGAATATGGGGATGGACTGAGGCCAGTGGTCAGATTTGGCCAGGATGCCGGGGTTAAACCCGGGATTTTTAACAACCACAGAGAGTCGGGACCTCGGTTTAACGTCTCATCCGAAAGACGGCGCTCACTGAGTAGTATAGAGTCCCCGTCACTATACTGGGGCATTAGGACCCACACAGACCACAGGTTGCGCGCCCCCTGCTGGCCTCACTAACACCACTTCCGGCAGCAACCTAGCTTTCCTATGTGGTCTCCCATCCAAGTACTGACCGGGCGCATCCCTGCTTAGCTTTAGAGGGTGACCATGTGAGAGTTGCAGAGAGCTAGCTGCCGTCAATTTTTGATTCACGTATGCAAATTCGTCTTCAGATGGCGCCTTTATAGTAATGTGGGTGCAGTCGATCGCAAATCACGCTTTAATGTTTGGCTGGTCAACTGCATGGTATGGAAGCCTTATATACCTGCTAGACATGCGGAGACATTCATAAGTAATAAACGTTCACTCTACTATTCACTCTACTAAGCAGTGACTCTACAAACCACATGTGTTCTGTGGCTCCCGGTCAACAGTAATTCAGACTCAACATAGCAGATCTTGCGATGTGACTATCGCAGACGTGCACGTTGCGATATCGATGCTGAAACAGTATATTGTGCAGCCTTATTACTGTGTTTCTAAATGTTCTTTTTGAATGGTAGTGTGACGCATATTGAATATAACCTACTCGTGTTCTTTGCTGTTCTTTGAGTACTATGAGCAAATCAAAGTGTAATAAAGCAGATTACATTACAGAACATTCACATACCGTAACCTCAAAGTCTTCAAATCGTCTCTGGTGACATAATGAAGGATGTCATCAAGACTGTAATCTTCAGCTATTATCTGTGAGTACGGGCAGAAAATAAATGTTTCTGTTAATTTCAGATCATATTCCTAAACAAATTTAAGAATGTTTGTTTACATGTATTCCCAAAACATTTCATCTTAACACTAAGGGCTTTATTTTAAGGATCTAGGCACAAAGTCTAAAGTGTAGGGCGCAGAAACACTAAGGGCCCTATCATACACCAGGCGCAATGTGACGCGACGCAATTGTCGTTTGCTAGTTTCATTTTGACATGTTGCGCCACGCTGTTTAAATTTGCGCTCTTATCTGCGCCCATAGGCATTCTGGTCTAAAAAAGGAGGCGTGTTAAGGCGCAATGCTGGCGCGTAGCTATTTTGGGGAACTAAAATAGACTGTTCAATAGATCAGCTGAGGAGGTCTAAAGTCTAGTGCTGAGCACGTCAGTCTTGCTCCTCGCTTAAACATTGTTTAATACACACAGGCTGAACAGAAATACGCAAATATCTTTACATATGAAAAAGAATTAAAGGAGTAAAATATTACAATTATTATTTTCTACATAAATATAAAAACCACTGCCTCCATGCCTTCTTTATCTCGGGAGGCTTTTTCAGTTTATTTATGACAATTTGATTTTGTATAATGTTATTATTATTAGCAGTATTATTTATTATATCCATATTTATATTTGTTTTATTAAAAACAAGCTTAGATTTGCCCACCTGTCAGGTTTTAGACCATATGGGGCACAGCATGTGTATTTGGATTTAACTCAGGTTTTTGAGCACACTTCGTTATTATTGTTCATTTATTCGTTTGCTGGAAATTAGAACTGAATTTAGAAATAGTTTTGAAACAAATCTTTGCAAACAAACAAAATAAATTATATATAGGCTAATGGATGTCTGTGCGTTCAACATGTTTCCCTATCCACGAGAGTGAAAGTGAAAGTAAAGAATGAAGAGGCTCATCTCTAATTCTTGCGCTGCAGATGCTCTGTTTAACTGTTTTCTCGCTATTAAAGCGTTTAGTTTTTTTTCACGTACAAAGTCCGCCATGTAAAAATCAAATGCGCTACAGCGCGAAGCAAATTACTCTTATAGGGAAATGGGAGACGACACTCTGATTGGTTTATGCGAAATACACACCTATAACTCGTTAAGAGAATAAGCTCAACCCTGTAAGGCCATTTGCAGCAGCTCAAAGCAGATTTTTCCATCCTTAAAATACCAAAAGTAGATTCAGACACGCCTCTGCGTGCTGGCGCATGGTCTAACAGGGTTGAGCTTATTCTCTTAATGAGTTCTGGGTGTCTTTTGAGCATAACGTGCATTAAACCAACAAAAGTCTCATCTCCCATTCCCTTTAAAAGTCAGTTGCGTCACGTCATGGCACATTTGTTATTTACATGACGGACTTTGTAAATGTAAAAACTGAACACTTCACTTGCGAGAAAACCGTTAAACAGAGCATCTGCAGCGCGAGGATAAAGAACGAGCCTCCTCAAGCACCCAAACACTGCAATACTTTTTGATTTTCTCCATAAATAAAAGTTGTATCAGAGCTGCAGCAAGGGTTTGTCAGTTTGTCATCTCCTGAGAGAACGGTTGATGTTTGCCTAGCAATGACAGACTCTACAGGTGCAGATGCACGTGGAAATTAGCATTTTTTAAATTTGTACGTTCTTTTAGACATGATATTTGAACATTCATTCATTCATTTTCTTGTCGGCTTAGTCCCTTTATTAATCCAGGGTCACCCAAGCGGAATAAACCAGCAACTTATCCAGCATTTTTTTTTTACGCAGTGAATGCCCGTCCAGCTGCAACCCATCTTTGGGAAACATCCATACGCACTCATTCACACTGATACACAACGGACAATTTAGCCTACCCAATTCCCCTGTACCACATGTCTTTGGACTGTGGGGGAAACTGGAGCACCGGGAGGAAACCCACACCAACACAGGGAGAACATGCAAATTCCACACAGAAACGCCAACTGACCCAGCCGAGGCTCGAACCAGCGACCTTCTTGTTGTGAGGCGACAGCACTACCTATATGTGAAAACCTCTATGCATTATTCTAAGATTTTCAAGTCAGGAGCTATATTTAGCCTTAAGATGTTTGCGAATACAGGTCCAGATGGTGAACAGTTTCTGACCCTCTCTATGGAATCAGCATCAGCCCCGTGGAGTTTGAGCCACTCCAGAAGTTGCAGGTCTCCGTCTCCATCCAATGAGCTGCGGGTGTTCACGAGCTGCACGGGCGCATCTGTCATAAACACAAGATCACATTCACACTCAAGTCAACACTGAAAATGTATCCCAGCATAATGATTCACCACACAGCAAAACACAAGTGAACAAACATGACAAACTTAAAGGGGACCTATTATGCCCCTTTTTACAAGATGTATAAAAAGCCTCTGATGTCCCTAGAGTGTGTGAGTGAAGCTTCAGCTCAAAATACCACACAGATAATGTTTTCTAACTCTGAAACTGACCCTTTTAGGCTTTGATCCTCATTTTGGTGGATGTCACTTTAAATTCAGTTTTTTTCAGAAGAGGGCGGAGCTACAAATGCCTGTGTGTCAGCATAGTGGCAGATTCAAAAACAAGACTAACGTCCTATACTAATGAGGGAGAGATGGTCACTAGTGGGCGGGGCTTTCCCCCTCTGATGACACCTACAAAGGGAGAAAGTCAAATTAAAGTGTTTCTGCAGATTGTTTTTATCAAGTCTGCTTATAAACAATACTAATAATTAATGTTAACCATAATGCTGCGTTCACACCAGATGTGGAACGTGCGTCAAGTGCGAGTGATTTATATGTTAAGTCAATGCAAACGCGCAAATAGACATCCTGCGGCACGATACGCACGAATGGCGCGGCGTGAATGACGAGAATTGCGCGAATGGTGCGGTCCACATGGCACGATACGCGCGAATGGCGTGGCGTGAATTGAGCGTTTTGCGCGTTTGACGTGCTTAATGCGCGTTTCGCACGAATCACTCGAGTTCGAAAATCTGAACTTCAGCGGACATTGGCGCCACGTTAACCAATCAGGAGCATGCTCTTGTGGGGGCGTGATTGTGACGTATCGCCTGTTGTCGGTGTCCCAGGGGAAATCCCCCAAACTGGCCTGGGCTCAGTCAGAAGCACTGCTGAAAACCTCCATCAGCCAGGTTCAGTTTCTGGAGGAGTCTATGAGCTTAAAGAGCTGGATGCACCTCTGAAAGGATCTAGTGGAATCCGCGTCTGTTCTGAAGTTAATTTGACACGCGAATGAAGCGGGGTTTGACGCGCGAATGAAGCGAGTAACCTCAAATGTTCACACGGCTATTTACGCGCAAATAGCACAATTTATCCGCGCGTTCCGCGTCTGGTGTAAACACAGCATAAGAGGATGGTTATATTCACAAGCTGGTGCCCTACTACTGTATTTAAATACCTCATATATGCAAAGTTCAGAATCACCTCTGTATTCAAATTAACCCTGTGAAATGCCGGTTTGTTTGGGCGTGTGCTAGAAAAAGGAAAATAATAAACAGACGCATGTATGTATGCTGCTAAATTTGCTATATTTGGACAAAGATGGATGAAGACTTTTAAACACACGGCGCTGCACTTCTCCTCCGCTGTGAAACTCAAACCCCAAACTCTCAAAACCTGCCTGGAACTACTTTAGCGGTGCATTTATCTGAAAAATAACTCCACACCGTATATTGCTCATTAGCCAATGAGAATCAAATGCTTAACAAGTTTGTATTACACACAATGATAAGGAAACATGTGCTATGGAACACTGGGAGAATTAAATAATAAACCAAGATGGAAGGAAGAATCTGTTTTATCATTTGAATGTCAGCCTCACCGATGGGTCCGGTTCGACACTTTAATAGTTTGATCTCCTGTTCTCTGTCCTCTAGGACCTGCTGCAGGATGGCCTGATATTCTCGCTCCTTTTCTACTAATTCCTCCAACAACCTAGAACACATAAGCACAGCCATATGTAAACAGCAGACGAAATGTTGGTGAAAAGAAACGCATGAATAATTCTGCATTGATTCTGTGGACGGCGCTCTAAGATAGTGTTTAACAGCCGACGGCGCTCTAGGATAGTGTTTGACAGCAGACGTCGCTCTAGGATAGTTTATTAACAGCAGCCGACACTCTAGGCTAGTGTTTAACAGCGGACGGCGCTCTAGGATAGTTTTTAACAGCAGACGGTGCTCTAGGCTAGAGTTTAACAGCGGACGGCGCTCTAGGCTAGTTTTAACAGCAGACAGCACTCTAGGCTAGTGTTTAACAGCAGATGGCGCTCTAGGCTAGTTTTTAACAGCAGACAGCGCTCTAGGCTAGTGTTTAACAGCAGATGGCGCTCTAGGCTAGTTTTTAACAGCAGACGGCGCTCTAGGCTAGTTTTAACAGCAGACAGCGCTCTAGGCTAGTGTTTACCAGCAGACGGCACTCTAGGATAGTGTTTAACAGCAGACGGCACTCTAGGCTAGTTTTAACAGCAGACGGCACTCTAGGCTAGTTTTAACAGCATACGGCACTCTAGGCTAGTTTTAACAGCAGACAGCACTCTAGGCTAGTTTTAACAGCAGACGGCACTCTAGGATAGTGTTTAACAGCAGACGGCACTCTAGGCTAGTTTTAACAGCAGATGGCGCTCTAGGCTAGTTTTAACAGCAGACGGCACTCTAGGCTAGTTTTAACAGCAGACGGCGCTCTAGGCTAGTTTTAACAGCAGACGGCACTCTAGGCTAGTTTTAACAGCAGACAGCACTCTAGGCTAGTTTTAACAGCAGACGGCGCTCTAGACTAGTTTTAACAGCAGACGGCGCTCTAGGCTAGTTTTAACAGCAGACGGCGCTCTAGGCTAGTTTTAACAGCAGACGGCGCTCTAGGCTAGTTTTAAAAGCAGACGGCGCTCTAGGCTAGTGTTTAACAGCAGACTGCACTCTAGGCTAGTTTTAACAGCAGAAGGCGCTCTAGGCTAGTGTTTAACAGCAGATAGCACTCTAGGCTAGTTTTAACAGCAGACGGCACTCTAGGCTAGTTTTAACAGCAGATGGCGCTCTAGACTAGTTTTAACAGCAGACAGCACTCTAGGCTAGTTTTAACAGCAGACAGCACTCTAGGCTAGTTTTAACAGCAGACAGCACTCTAGGCTAGTTTTAACAGCAGACTGCACTCTAGGCTAGTTTTAACAGCAGACAGCGCTCTAGGAGAGTTTTTAACAGCAGACGGCGCTCTAGGCTAGTTTTTAAGAACAGCAGATTGCGCTCTAGACTAGTTTTAACAGCAGACGGCGCTCTAGGACAATTTTTAAACAGCAGATGGCGCTCTAGCAGCTGCAATTACATATATTCTAAATAAAACACACTTGCCTTTTGGTTTCTAGCTTCATGCGACCCAGCTCCATGCTGATAGACCTCTGCGCGCTCTGCGACTCGTGGGAAACTGTTGAACTAAGCGTGCTCACTCCAGACGTGGCCACAGTGTCGTCGTGATGAACGAGTGCTGGTGCCATGTCCTTTAGTGCAGCGTTTCCCTGAGGAACTGCATCATCATCGATGTCCTCCTGCTCGGCGGGGTCACTCTCTGATGCCAGTGTGAAGTGTGGACGCAATTCTGAAGGCAAACACATGAAAGGAACAGTTCGGTAACACTTTACTTGAAGGGGTGTTCCTAAGACGTGTCATGAAAACTTTATGATCATGATATGACATGAATGCAAATGTTATGGCAACTGTTATTAAGTGTCAGTTATGAAATTTTAAATGGAAAGATGACATTGTTTGTTATGACAACTTGACATTAACAAGTACATCACAACCTGTTTTGTCTTTCACATGACGCTTAACATTATCAAGACAACAAAACTTGTCATAAATCTGTCATCAACATAATTGTCATAAAGCTATTATAAATATTTCATGAATATTATAATAGCATCATTAATATTTTTCTAGCCTCAACGACAGCTGAATTTAGATTAAATACTAATGACTCTCTTCAAAATTATTTGACAGAGTAATCAAATTAATAAGACATTTTAATGACAAATCAGAAAAAAGATTCAAGCAACAATTATAACGCCTCATAACAATATTAATGATGTTGTCTTCATAATGTCAAGTCGTCATAATACAGTTAGAGACCGGTTGTGATGTGTTTGTTTATGTCAAGTTTTATGAACAGCCCCTTCAAGTACAGTTCCTGCACACTTCAGGTATGTCAGTGGCACAGGTCATTGACTACTATAATAATCAACCAGTCATCAAGTGTTTAATAAGAGCAGGCATGAACAATGTGCACTTCCATTTCCACTTTCAGGAACTGTATGAATGTGCAGTTACCAGATTGTTTTAGAAATAAAGGTTTCATTTACCAGGTACCAATATGACGATGGCAGTCTGCACAGCCTTTCGAATGATGTTATCCAGGGCAAACATCCAGTGTGGCTTGATGTTGTGGTTGCGGAGGACTTTATTCACCTGGAGAAATACAAAACATTAGGCTACATGGAACTTTTTATTTTCATGATGAACCTTTGACAATGGATTCATGTAAATCTGTTTTAGGAGACTTTCAAGATATATAAAAAAGGCCCAAATACCACAGACT